GGCACTGGCAATCTCCCTGCTTATCTCTGGTTATATAAATGCAATAATTATCAATTATTTATTTGTATTAAGTCTACATATTTGTCTTCTAAATAGTGTAGAAAAGTACATAAAAATAAATATGTAAAAGTGAATATTCAAGTAAATGAATAAGGTCTTCAAAGGGTGGTGGAGTGTCTTAACAAAAAGTGTTTTAGATTCAAATGATGGCAAGAAGCACCCAAATTTTTTGTTATCTTTATATGACTTACTGTGTGGAATGACTGCATACATATTTTTGTATGTATCATAAATCTCAAATTTCAGAAAATTCGTAATAGAACCCTTGCTTAATACGGCAACTTCGTATAAGCCCGCCTTTTATAAAAAAAAACATGAATAAACTTTTCTTTAGTTCAAGTAAATCCTAAGCAGTACGTATGTGTAGTACATTTTATATGCACACAAGAATGTAATATCACTAGTGAGATTTTTTTTCTAGCCTAAGTCTCACTTGACACATTTAGAAATGTGGAAGAATCAAGAATTAAAGGAAAAGTAGTAAATTAAGCTTGTTTTTTTTTAACCACTAGCAGAACTTATCAGTATGGCGTGCTAGGAATCTTTCGGAGGCCAAGCTATTATTCAATGGCAAGATGAATACAGCATGCCGAAAGATGTTATAGGATAGAAAATGAGAGTAAGTATTGATCGACACTAAAGAGCTTGTTTCTGCTTTAAATAAATAAAATAAATTATAAATTAATTAAGTTTCTTACGAAATAAGAATTACTTATAAATTTGACTAACAAGTCTAACTGATTTAATTAATTAATTAATTGTACATAAGACCTAAGAGCATGTAGAAAGCATCAGTCGTATTTATCAACTGCTAAGACTACTAACACGTCGTCTTGATGAGTTCAGCATGTTATTAAAAGCAAAACAAGCTGATTTCATTTCTATTTCTTTGATTTCTAATTTTTTAATAGTATTAAATGCGTCCGTTAAAGAGTAAGGCTAGTATTAAAATCTTATTTGTAATTATACTCCCGTAAGGCGTAGTTTACAAACATGTATGATGTGTAAGAGTAATATTATGTATTAATTTTTTAGAACTCAATAGCTCTTAATTCCTCAGTTGAATTAAAAACTAATCGTCATCAAGTAAAACGCTAAATTAATTAATTTAATAATCAGTAAAATTTTTGGTTAAAGACGTTTAAAAAAAATGCTTTAATGACACCTAGATAAGAGTCAGATGGGTTAAGTTGAAGAGAAAGGAAAAAAAGAATTTTGAAAATAATTACTCATTCAACTTGTAATTAATAGAAAAAATGTTACATTACTACTATTATTTAAAAAAGGCTAAGTACTGTCTCTTCGTAGTTTAATTAGGCTTTCTGACATGGGTGATGAAGTTAACACGTTTTATTACGGAAAAACTTTTATGGTTTTCATCATTTGACGACTCTGAACAAAGTCCATAAGTACATAAAACTTCTATCATATTATAAAAAAATTAATGTGGAAAATTTTACTCATTAAAATATTATTACGAACATTTATATCTATTAATGTTTTATATCAAGTCTATCTATTTTTTTTCTGGATAGTGTTAGCAAATAGATTAAAAATATTCAATAAAAAAAGTAACTAATTATTTATTAATAAGAACGCCAATTTTCAACAACAAAATTTGTTTCTTATTTTCATAAAACTGTTTACTTGAAAGACGGAGGAGTTGATACGTTGGAAGAGTGTGAGGCCAGGTATGATGTATTGTTTTATTATAAATGATCTGTGAGGTGAGGAAGAGTAGAGCAATAGGGAAAAACAAGAAAAGTGTGTGGGGAATGTTATAATATGGTGGAGGATTGTTGGAGGCTTAATACAATCTTTATCGGGTTAAAATAATGGAAAATTCAACTAAAGTTTCTGTTAATTTGTGTGGTGACTGTGGTTAAGATCCAAAAAAAATAACGCATACTTTGGGACAGTGAAAGGTAGTGGACAGTTGTGTTTAATTCCCTAAAACCTAACTATCTAATACGAAATGATGCAAGAAAGATACACACACATGTGTGTGCGTGTACACACACGTCTATATATATATACATATACATATTTTTACGGGATGCACGCACTCAGCAGATGTACGAGGCGTAATCACTTAACTTTGACAGGGCCGATGTTGTCTAGATATCCTTGTCAACACTCTCTGTAAATAATGCGCGTCAAGACACAACTGGAACAAAATATCGTGGTGACCAGTACCGTCGTCGCCTCTTGTGACTAGGTTAACACGGCATAAGGTAAATCGGGCACACTAAGAAATAAGCACTTACAACTATCATATTAAAATAGAATAACATATTAAATTAAATAAAAATACTTATGTGTATGTGTATGTGTGATCACACGTCTAGTGCGATTAGTCGAAGTGCTCGTGGCACAAAATCGCAACAAGAGCAGACTACGTAGGCTTCCAAAGGCTGCTGCCCTTTACAAACGACTACCTGCTGGCAGGTACTTAAAATGACACTGGTTCAAAGTTGCTGTCTCGAAAACGGTTTTCTCCTTGGTGGTTGTGGCGCTATCGAGGAGCACCAGCTTAAGTTAGCAGGCATCCTGGCTGACTAAGACGTAGAGCTTCAGTTCGTGGCTCGTCATCTTGCTGACTTTCAGCCCATCGTTCCACGGTCTCTCAGCACGTTTATGGGAACAAGACCACAACGCCAGTACTGCAGCGGGACATCGCGTAAAGGGAAATGCTGAGGACAGCAAAACGAACAAAAAACGTTTCTCGCGATCAAAACGATACTTCTTGCACGCATGCATGCCCAAGCTCATCTGAGCTTTCTCGGCCTTTTCTTTATTTTCCCTCTGCTTTCCCTTACTACTTTCTCACCTATTCTCTTGAACAAAACTCTCTCTTTTCCTTACTCACCTATTCTACCATAGGTGGCTTCACGGTGTCTCACTCTGACAACATAACCCCCCACTGCTCCAGCACTGTCCCCCAAATTACACCCCACCGTCCTTCAACTACCCTCCTACAAATAAAGGAGAAATTTGTCCTTTTTAAAAGCAATGTTAACCCAATAAGTATTGGATTAAGCCCCCTTATTGCCCTTTCACTGTCCCTCCACATAATTTTTCTTGCCCCCTCTACTACCGCCCCTCACACCCCCAAAAGTTTTTTTTGTGTTTTAATGCACTTGAGTTGTTTGAGTCGAATCTTTTAAAAATTTGACTATATCATACGATCTAAAATCCTAATTCTTTATTCAGAAAACATTCAAATATACTTTTTAAAAAGAAAGTTTATACTATGTTAAGAAAAGTTCTTTCAGATTTCAAAATTTTCATATTTGTTTTCTCACACTGCAATAGATGCAAAACGCAAACAGATGGACTTTATACAGTTTATCTAATAATATGAATAAAAAGACGTGATCTCTAATATCTATTAATATAGTCACAATGTTAAAAATTTAAATAAGTAAGTATAAGTTCTTGGTACACTAATTTTCTTTATTGTTAATAACATTATATACCTATCTGCCTTCATTTCTTGTCGTTATAAAATGACAAAGTATCATAAAAATTTTGCCTTCAAATGTGACTTACTTTTGCGAATTATATTATAAAGCTGTATAAGACCAAAAATAATTACCTTGAGATTTATTGATAGTCATAGCAAATTCTAAAACTAAAAAAAATTGTGTTCTGTATACAGTAAATGGTAGTGAAAAAATATCTGGAGTATTAAAAGTTCTTTGTGGAATAAAAACTTTTTTTCCAATTTTTTCTTCAGTTATATCACCTTCTATGTTGTACTTATATTGTTTAGTTATTCACAACTGTGTACCAATACATAAAAAATCTGATATATTTAAGTTTCTTATAAATATTACTTTACTTTTTATTTGTATATTTAGTTTATTAGGTGGTAAGCCTTCCTGAATATTATTGAACATTTTTACAAAAAAGTTAATATAAATGTTATCATCTGATTTATTAACACCTTTAAGAGATTCTTAATCAATCCTATAATACATTTGAGACTCTTCTTTCAATGTTTTAAAACTTTTAGTGTACAATATAGTTATAAAAAAATTGTCTTGTAAGCCACGTAAAAGAGCGTACGTACAGTTAAATTACATGTGGTTTTATCCATAACCAAGAATTTACAAGAGTAACATGTTATGGCATTATTTACATACACATAACACGAAGCATAGTGAAGTTTGTAAGCATTGTGAAAATAAATTTTAAAAAAACGCATTAAAAAGACATTGCAATAGAGTTCTTAAAAAAGTAAATAAAGAATTTTGAAAGCATGTTAATAATTAGTAACCATTATAGTAATGTTTGACATATAGTTTTCTTACTTATTTCAGAATACAGATTTAACTATTTTTAAATGAAAATAAAATATTAATGTGTACCCCTTAGTGCAATAAAATATTTATACAACTTAAAAAAAGTAAATAAAGAATGAGCTTATAAATAACAACATTAATTCTTACTATAGACCATGATGAATTGCTTACCACAGACTAACTAAAGCTGATTTTTTTATTACAAACATTTTTAACTTATGTAAAAGGTACTTATACTATTGTGTTTTGCAGTTAGAAAAAAAGTTTTTTCTCTTATTTTAAAGCTTTAGCTTCCTATCTCAAATCTTATGCGAAGAATTACTATTTATTAAGAGGGGTTGGTGCACAAGGCGTGTAAGGAAGCAGAGTTCCACTAGTATAAATACATTTGTGTGTGTACAAAGGGTCTTAAGATATAATAAAAGAAAAAGAAAAAGAAGTAGCAAAGAAAAGTTTTACACTTCGTAAGTTAGAAGAAGAAAGAAATAGTCTGTTAATGATTAATTTCAACTGTAAAATACTGAGCATAATTTTTAGTGAAGGGTTTGAATTAGGAGAAGGGTATTTTGTTTAATATGTTACATATTAATAAATTATATTGTTATTAAAAATTGAAAATTTTTCTCTTTTTACCTGTCGTAAACAAGACTATCGCTTTCAGGCAGCTGTATTCTGCAGAGTCCACACGTAGAGCCTTTAATTTTTCTACCTGCTCTTGAAAAATTCGAATGTGGTCCATAAAAGCAACAACTTTATCAGCTGCCATAGGTGAGGCATGAAGACCTGCTGCTGCTAGTAATGGGGCAACATTTAGGGGCATTGAACATTGACTAGCATTTAATACAAAAAGCTCACTCCACACTAATCTTAAAAGTGCTACTTGGTTTGTTACTTGAAGCTCTGGAAAATAAGGTATGTGTCTTGTCCACTCCACAGCAGAAAATAATAGTCTTGCTGCCAGCTCACAAATACTGTCAATTCCAATAACATTTTGTGGCTGCATACTTTGACTATATCTTGATGTTGAATATGGCTCAGCTCTTAAAAGTAAACTCAAAAAAGATGGGATGTAGGAGTTGCTACTTGATTGAGAGCTTGAAATTACATTCTCATTTGCCAACAAAAATTGTCCAGAATATCCAGAATTGTTAGTGTGTAATGATGGAACTCTCCCTCTTTGTACGGCTGAAATAATATATTTCTTAATAATTATCAAGAATATTAGGTAATGATAGTCAACTTCCTAGCGTTGCTAAATGCTTAATCACAAAGACATGTAGGTATGGGCTAACTAAAAGATCCCATGAAACAGAAAGGCAAGACAGTAAAAAAGGAAGTAAGAGATGTCATGCAATAATCATATAATTTTTCTTGTGAGTATAGCCCAAAACAAAAAAAAGAATTTATTTTAAATATCGCAAAAGACTATAGAATAAGAGCTTGGATTTGCTTAAAAATATCACCTCATCCAATTAAAATAGCAATGACCAGAAAAGGTTTTATGGGCCCATTAAAAGAGCAGTGGATAATTTGTAAAGGGCAAAGGTTCTGGCTTAATTTACTAGATTAGGAGTAAAATAATATTAAATTATATTATAAATTATATTCGATGACAAAGTAAGCACAAACAGTAGCAAGACGGTTTTAAGAATTCTCACTTATAGAGAGACTTATATTGGTTGAAAGATAGTATTGCGTAACTACTAGCCTACAAGCTTTACAATTGGCAGAGAAAGTAACGAATAGAACTAAATAAAAAATCAATTTCATGTTTCAAGTCCTTAGTGTTCGTTAAGGAGCATGTACTTATCCTGTAAGGTTACACGACTTTTTACTGGAAAACTAATAAGTTACAGATTAAAAACGTTTTCCATTGGCCTTTACCCAAACAAAATTAAAATTAACTAGTGAAATCTTATTGAACCATATAGGCAGGTCATAGTAGAACATTTAGTTGTGTTCTGAGACTGTATATAAGAAACGTATTAAATACAGGACAAAAAAATATAGAGGAATGTTATAATAGGTTACAGTGAAAAAGTTTTAAAAAACGATTGCTTCGGTTGTTAATTTTTGCTATCTCATAAAAAAAACTTTTTTCAGTTATACTTCTATAGGCACGTTGTGCGTGAAGATAAATCAAAGGTCTCAAATTGTTGGTGACCTTGGAGAAAAGTGTGAGGAAAGTGGATTTTGTGGCTTACTTTCCCTTTGCCTCGCCCCCCGTGACATATTTCTAGTCCCTTCCAGACCACATAACCCCATCCCACCACATAACACCACCACACCACATATTTTGAGTGCAAAGAATTCAATTTTTTTTTTTTTAACCAATTGTTACAAAAAAAAAGAAAAAAACGTTTCCAAAGAGATTTGAACCCCCAACCTTGTAATTACTGGTTAAGGTCCCTACTCACTCTGCTATGAATGGTCCCGACTTATTAATTTGAAATGTATCAATAATAAACTAACTTTTTTAGTAAAATGTTTTATTCAAAAACTTATAAATTAGTATGTTTAAGATGCCCAGATTTTCTGTATTTTAATCAATATTTACTTTTATTTATTTAATTTGTTAATATAACAATAAATAAATAGCTGTTTGTACAATTTTCCATACTCTTTGAAGATTTTTAAGAATTAAAAAAAATTTTTTCTGTACGATAGAAACACAATGATTGCTTTTTTTTGTACTTTATTTCTTCACAATTGGTTCATTCATGATTTGAGTGATTTTGTGCTTTCAGGACGTTCTTCACATAGTTAGTGGGTGAAAAGTTCAGGGAAGTGCAAGGAACGCTAATGTGTGCAGTAAAGCTAGTAATTGTTTTTCTCATATGGATGTGCTGGCTTACATGCTTTAACGCACACTTTATCCCTGCTTTCTAAATTTATTTGAAAATCTACTTGCGGGTCTGTTTGAAAATCTGATAGGTTTATCTAAAAGTTATCTTTTGTACCCAAAAAATCGGAAGATCCCTACAAATCATACAAATGACATTTAACGTTATTTTTTCATAAGGTTACATGTTAAATTGCAATTTTTCAAACTATACATACATAAAATAATGGTAAAGTCAAACAAGGCTCAATTTTCGAGGGTATTTTTTTGCTATTTTAAGTATACATTTGATATTGGAATAATATCTGCCGAAAAAATCTATGTATGATGAAAGTCCTATTAAAAACAGTGGTACTACAAGATGTTTTTTTTTACTTTTTAGATACAATTAAATTTTGTGTATAAGATATGGACATGACAATGAACAGGTGTAAGAGCGTATCTGATAAATCTGAGCGTGACATTACAGATTTAATCAGCATAGATAGTTGGAAGTCGTTTTACAACCATCGGAAGATTTAATGTTAGTGCAGTCTAGTACTGATCAGCCTATATATTATTTTTATTGTAATGTGCCAGTATATATTATTAACCATTGTTAACTTGACAAATATTTGTTAACAACATACCCAATTAACGTGGGTATACTCATTCCTACGAAAATTGAACCACCTGTGCACACAATACTGTTTTATAGAAGGTATTTTTATATTTAAAATTCTATTGTTTGGCATATAATTTTATTAAAGTATAACTTCATACTTGAGTACCTAATCACCTACTTTTTACTGGTTTCTGTTTGTGTTCTTATGCTGCAATATAATAACACAAAACTTTTATCTTATACAAACTATTTATAGAGTATCAACAGAAACTATGAAACGTGCATAAATTTTTTTGCATGCCTTTATCTCAAAATAATTTTTATAGTAATTTAACCAGATGCTACATTAGTAAAACGAATGGTTTTCTAAACTGATACTGCTACTTGACAATTCAAGGACGTGACGCTTAGTACGAATTTTTTCTTTATTAATGCATCTTTTAAAAATTCTGATAGACTTTATTTAGTTAGCGACAGACTATTCCTAAAAAGGTTCAACTTTTTACAAAAAATTACGAAAGAAGGAAGAATTAATTTTAAAAAAAGAGGTGTCATTGAATAAGCTACGTTTATTATAAGGTTGAGAATGTATTGCAATATAATCCAAGTAAGAACACATTACGTCGTTTAACGTGGCTTAGGCAATTCTTTTAAGCTTGATTAAAACCTCTGAATTCTAGTTCTACGTAAATAAAATATGCAAAATTTATATGCGATAAGAAAATACTGGGGTTAACGATTTCATTGTTTTACAAATTGCTACTGAAAGTTTACTAATTTAACACCTATTTTTATGAACAGTGGTGATAAAATCGACTATGTCTTTGAAAATCTTTGACTAACCTCAAAAACTTAAAGTAGTTCTTCTGTATTTTCTTACAAAGAATCTTTTAAATTCTTAACAATATGGGATCAATGACTTAACTTAAGAAAAAACCAGAAGTAAAGTATGAAATGTTAATCTGGCTTGCCTCGCCACATCTCTTAATTTTTACTATTGTAAATCCACGGTCCTTTTCTGGCTATTTCTTGATGTTGGACTTTGATATTATCGAAATAACTACATTTATTTAAAATTCATCGTCGAAAATCGTTGCATTATGCTTAAATAACTTTTTTGTGTGTAACCTATACACCATTATTTTATGACTAAGAAAGGCTGTGATACCTATTATTAGATTCTTACTCTCTTGCTTTCTACACGCAGAGACAAAAATGGCATTATCGCATAAGGGCGTCAATGATATGAACCTGTGCGGCACACCATGCGCTTTTACTGTAGCTGCTAAGAGCTAAGCGCAGGCTGCTATGTAGTTATGGCGTCCCCAGTGTCTATGCCGTAATGTCATCATGAGACATGAGCCTAGCGCCAGAATTTGATGGGCTTAAAGCAGAGAGTCGACACCTCAATCGTATTGACTATAGCTATGGGCAAAACGCAAAGCAGCGATAAAGTTTTGTCCGTTGCCGTCTTGCGTTTGCTTTTCCCACTTCTTGTTTTTACACTATATGCTCTCTCTGCAGCAGATACGCACTTGTTGCCTGCGCAGCTTGTAGATACCTTTAAACATGCATGTTCAAATTTTTGAGTATACATACACAGCAGCTGATAGTCTTGTGATATTTTGAAGATATATTCATTGTGAGCACCCTTCATATGTAGATTTAATTTTGACATGAGTATGGCAAAGCTGCACAGCACAGCTAAAATTTTAATGAATTAAGCATGAAAAGTATCAAGACTATCATATCAGCTGCAGTGTATATATACCCAATTATTTAAACATGCATATATATATATATGTATTTATGCGCTGTGCAGGCAACGAGTGCATGCCTGCTATAGAGAGAGCAAATAGTATAGAAACAAAAAATGGGAGAAGCAAGCGCAAGACGGCAACGGACAAAACTCCATCGCCGCATTGCGTTTTGCCCATAGCTATAGTCAATGCGTTTAAGGTATTGACTCTCTGCTTTACACCCATTAAATTCTGGTGCTAGGCTCATGTCTTATGATGACATTACGGCATAGACACCAGGGACGCCATAGCTATATAGCAGTCTGCGCTTAGCTCATAGCAGCTACAGTACAAGCGCATGGTGTGCCGCACAGGTTCATCGCATTGACGCTCTCATGTGATAATACTATTTTCTTCCTCTGCGTGTAATTTAGTCAGTCAGCTTTTGAATGGATGAGCAATTGAGTGTATACCTCTCTTTTAAGTGTATAAATAAAATTATTACAAAATATGTAAATATAACAAATTAGTTACTATTTCATATTACCAGAAACTATAGTAGTATAAGAGATATAAAAGAAGTATTAAAAGGAATGAGCTAAACTTAATTTTTTTTTTTACCTCATAGTGCAGGTATGAACAGAACAAACGAAAAAAAGGTACCTTTTCCGTTGATGGCAAGTTTTATGTTGTTGCCGAGAAACACAGTATCACTGTCACGACGGAATCCTGCAAGAAGTCAAGTCGGTGCGTGATGTGCATTGACGCTCCACTGTCCATGATCCAAGCGTCGTTTGCATTGGTGTAGCAGGATTCGTGCTGTGCCGACGCAGCAAGGGCCATTGCAGGCTCGCCAAAGTTGGAGTGATCATCTTTCTTTGACATTTTTCCATTACTGTTCTTTTTCTTGGAACGGCACTCTTTTGATGTTGGATTTCGCTTTCTTGTTTTTTTTGTGGTTATTTGTCTCTTCAATTTTCATGGCTGCAAAGGCTTTCTCGTTGTTATCAATCTCGATGAGAGATGTATCTTCATCGATAAGTCTGGCTGTGAGATTCTCGATTGTTTGTCTTTCTTCGTCGAGAGAAAGCCATGCTTGATGGAAATTACGAAACTTGTGTGGCAGGCTTCTGAAAATTTTTATCATGATTGCGACGTTGCTAACCGTCTTACCCGTTTCTTTCAAAATTTGAGCGAGATTCTTAACTTTTGCTATGTGCTGTGCAACGAAGTCATTTGGGTCCATGAGGTACTGTGAAAAGCGTTCATGGGCGATCCATTTTATTTGTTTAACTTTTCTGTTCATAGATCGCATTGAGCTTGTCTAGCATTGCTTTTGATGTTTAGCAGTTTTGCACTAGCACTATCTGTGAGTAGTCCATTAACGGTGTCATGATCAACATGGCGGCTGCGTTACTTTTCTTCCACTGAGCGATCTCGATATAAATGTTACTGTAATGGCATACATGTGTAGCTAACAAATAATTGTAATCATAGTTGCTATAATGTTTTCGTTAAAACTCTCTATACAATAGTATGAATATAACATGACATGACTATTTGTAGCAATAAAAAGTATTAGATTGATTATAAATTAAATCATAAATACGCAATCATAAATGTGACTGGAAATTTCCTTGAGCTCGCTTAACCCAGTTAGTGTCATTTTATTCAACTCTTCCACTCCTAAAATTATTTTCCTGGCTCTTCTGATGAATTTAGTATTGTCATTAGATTGTACCATAATTTTATCAAGTTTTTTTTCCGAAAGGTAGATATCATAATTATTAATAAGTTTAATCTATAATTTTAAAAGTATAAGTAAGTATATTTCGTTGAATGTAATCTTTTATTATAGTGAATTTTGTAAAAAATTAAATTAAAGCGTAATAATAACTGAAAATAAGTCTACATTTCTTAGCTGCTATAAAGAACCAATCGAGATGTAAATCACTACCTTTTGTTGACGATATAGAATAGGTAAATACTTATTTTGTTGAATTCTCTTACACCTACTTCCTTTGAGTACTTCTGCAGATAACCTTGGGTTCCTAACATGTAATATCTGCGGTAAAAAATGAGCTGAACACTCTTCACTGGTAAATAAGATGCATTTTTTTTTGGATATTACATTTTAAGTATTCCACTAATTATACATTATCAACATTAATTACGGTTAAGTATACATCATCGATAAATTTGATATTGTTTTATGATATCGTTAATTTATTTAAACTACAACTTTAATGAAGCATGCAATAAAACGATAGGTTGTAAGTAAAGAAATGTAAATAGTAGAATATGATTTTAGAGAGCAAAGAGTATGATGCTATTAAAATATAGATAACTTCTATACATTTTGTAAAATGATATAATACATAACAAATTCGGAAATCTATTTTCAAGACCATTGGTTTGCAGAAAAAGCATTCTCAAATAATGTTATTTAGAATGCTTGGACAGAAAACAATCCTAGCACTGCGTACTGCGAACCAATACTTCAATGAGAACAATCTCAGAACCCTGTGCTGTGACAAAAAAAATTTCTGCGTCATACGATGCGACAAAAAGAATCCCTGCACTATACGCTGAAGCGGAAAAATTCTTACGTGATACATTGCAGTGTAAAGAATCCCTGCGTGATACGCCGTGACGAAGAATATTTCTGCAAGTGGAACCGTGACGAAGAATATTTCTGTAACTGAATTTGTGACGAAAAATGTATCTGCGCTCTACGTTGCAAGGAAGAGTATGCTAGCGATCCATCTTATAACGAAGAGTATCTTACACTACGGTACGTTGTGGCTGAGAATATGAAATCCCTACGCCCTAAAAACACACAAATAATTAGATGAATACACGAATGAGTAAGTGAAAGACCGAGCAGATTAATAGGCAAACTACAATCTCAAGCTCTTCAAAACTACTTAACCACTTTGACAGGCCAACTTTATTCATTTGAAAAGTATTGAAAGAGTTTTGGGAAACAATTTCAGTTTGTATCTTATAAGGGTTCTAATAAGTTACTTCGATTTTCGAAAATTTGTTTTTCGTAGTCTTGAGGGTGAAAATATATATACTAAATGAAAAATAATTTATACTATAGAGTAATAAAGTAACTTAACTAACTATTTTTATTTATTCTGATATCTTATTTTCCTAATTTTTTAATAGCATTATATTGTAATGGTTTTATTTAATATAACTTTTTATTAAATTTTTAGACATTTTTGTAACCCAGACTTTCAAAAGTTTTCAAGTTATTCTTTTAGAGGCTTGAATTTTTATACCTCATTAGGGTCCTTATACTACTCCTTGATTTTCGAGAGTAACTTTTTTTGTTTTTAGAGAGTTAAAAATGCATACTGGATTTTACTCATATATATTCGTTTTATCTAGCATTGCAGTAGCTTTTTTTAACTTTAGTTATTGAACGTTTTGACTTTGTTCTCTCTTTATTATTGAAATACTACGATATTTTCTAATTAAAGAACACATGAGGTTATTATTGGTGGATTTTAACAGGTTCGAAAAAGTTTGCATAAGATCTTTGTAGAGCTAAGAGCTTTACCTTTAAGTGGAAAGTTAGACAAGTTTGCTGATGTAATTGGTATCTATGGAAAAAAAACCAAGACTACAAAAATAATAACTTAATACAGTGGTACGTAATACAATAGTCATTTTTATATCAGAAACTGTGGTAATACCAAGTGGCTTTTCAGGGATGTACAATGTTAATAATGGTATTTATTTAAAAGTAATAACGATATGGAAAATATAAATTGTAATGAGATCAACAACAAAAGTCAAGATCAAAGAGTTCTTACTTATCAAAAATGATTTCATCGTACAATAAATATTTTTATTAAAATATTTGAGTCAACAGAAACTTTACAAAACAAGATAAAATATTTTTAAAATGGTTAAATTAACATAAAATAGTGTACTTTTTAAACTTTTTTTTTAAATATTATTCCTTACTTTTATCACAACTTCTCCAATACTTAAAGCAGGTGAGCATTGTATTACAGAGGCAAGCGTGTCAATTTTTAAAAAAATCATGCAACCTGATATAAAGTAATTAAACTAATAACATTTTCGTTCATTTTTACAAAAGTATATGGATTCACAGAGAGAACAAGAGCTTGTGAATAAAAATTTCATTGGTCGAAAAATATGGATGTTTGTAAACACGTTCATTTATGTGTGTTTTTCAGAAAGTGTATAGCATACGCGGGTGCACATGTAAAAGTTTTTATCATTGGACAATATATCCACCACCCCATTAGTGTGTTTGCATTTTATTAATATTTTTTAAGGTTGTATTTGCGCGAAATAATAAAACTTTATCTAATTTTATCTACATATAATAAATATAATCTTAACATTCGTAATATATTCTTAAATATGCTATAATTTTTGCTATAGTTATACACCATGGTTTTAGGAAAAAATTTCAAAACACTAAAAGTTTGTGGTTATGTTTCAACATAACGTAACACCTTTTTACTTTTACGCTCAAACTTTTGAACCCTTAGAAAATGTATGACAATTGTTATTTTTGATCTATTTTGCTTTTTTTCAAGATAAAGTCTATTTTGATAATATTTTAAAGCTTATGAAAAGCCATTTCTGCATTAATGTAATCATGAACTAAACATTATACACTTTTTTAAAAGTTCTCCCTTATGATAGTACCTTAAAAATATAAAAAATTACGGTTATGTTTTGTCACAACTCAAAGCTTCTGTTCTTATGCACCGTGCTCTTTTTTTTCTTTTAAAATCCGGGAAAATCGATATTTTTGGTGTATCTCCCTATCCTTAGAAAATATAGCGTATTTAAAAATTATGTTTTGAATTAAAGATTTTAAAAAATTCCTAAGAAAAAAGTTTGGGATAATGTAAAATAGTAAGAGAAACATATAACTAGAATACAATCAAATCAAACAAAAACTCAGAAGAATATTGCTTCAGTCAGTTTTTTAACAATTTTCTGGCAGCAGTTTTTATTTAATATAAGTAATTTTTTGTAGCATATTGCTGTCAGATGGCCCGTTCTATTTGTGTAAAATCTTTATTACTGATTTTCGATTCCTGTATCCTTATTTGACGCTGACTCACTTTTTTTTATCAGTAGTGATTGGTTATCCCACTGCAATAACCAACAGTAATACCCATTTGTCTCGTGCTGACTCTTGTAGATTTTAAATGCTTATTTTAACGCCTCTTTACTGGTCTGTTCCCGTTGTTTGGCCTATATTACTTACTTTCAATCGACAATATATTGTGAATCACACATCTAATTTGAAGCACTTCAATGACCGGCTTTTATCGTTATGTACAGCATAATTAAGTGATATAATTTTGATCAGTGAATAAAAGTACACCCTGCATTAATAAATAAATAAATATATTGATAAACTATGGACGACAAACAAGCTTGATTATGCTCCAAGCGAGCCCAATCTTCTTGGATTCTCCCGTAACTATTTTTTTTTATCTAGTAGCTCTGGACATTGCTTACTATGATCATATTGATTGTATTTTGTATAAATGTCCGCAAAAAAAATAGTTAGTTCGTAGAAGCAGAAGGTAGTAGTTAAAACTTATTCAGTGTGTTACTACGTAGAGAAGCAATGGTAAAACCAGTTTTTTCTTTTATAGGAATGAGATTTGAATGCAGAATTTAGCACTCTTTTCTTCGTGCTAACTTAATACCTCTTCCCACTAATAGAACTTCTCCCACCACAAATCTGTTTAACAGATGATGAATGGGCATGTTTGGTGAATTTTTTGGACAACTTTTGCCAACTTACAAAGAGAAATGAGTGAAGAATGCAGCGTAAAAAAGTCAACTTCTTTGTAACGCTCAAATATTAAAAA